TCTCGGGGGCGGGGGGGCCAGAAAGACCCCCTCTCAAAAAAAGAAAAAAAAAAAAAAAAAAAAAAAAAAGACCACCAACAGCCCGGCCTGCCCCCGGTGCAGAGGTGACAAGGATTGCAAGCAGTGAGGGATGGGAAAGTGACCTGATTTTAATAGGCCAAATTCAGGCAGCTTACGTGTGGCAGGCAGTCCCTTGGCTTTTCCTCTTTGAGTGCTGCAAACTTTGAGTGCTGGGGTCCCTGGAAATGGGACAGAGCCAGACAGCCCAGGCTCCCTCCGCTCTCTGGCCTACCTCTTACAGCCTCCTCCCTGTACTGAAGCCAAGTATTGCCAAGCAAGCCCTCCTGGGACCATGGTTGGATTTCAGCCTTCAGAAGTGCCTCCCACAACAGTCGTGAAGTTACTGGGGGCCGGCACAGCAGCCTGCTTTGCCGACCTCCTCACGTACCCGCTGGACACGGCCAAGGTCCGCCTGCAGGTAGGTGCCCTGTGGCCAAGGGCCCTTGTTCACAAGGAAGGAGGGGCTGGTTCTGCACAGCATCAAGCCCATCTGCCAACATGCCCTTCCTCCCACGGAGCCGGGGAAAGGCCACTCACTCCACTGCTTAGAATCCTTCTTTGCCTCCTCACTACACCATCCCTCCAGATCAAAACAATCCAAATGCCTTGGCATGGTATGGCAGGGTTCTTTACTGCTTAGCTCTGCTTTGTAAATCATAGTGTGAAATAAAGGTAAAGAAGGAACAGTATGACCTTGGGTCACTAGCTGTCTATAGTAAAACAGGAAAAGCAAATAAAGCAAACGACCCCTCATAGGTACTCAAAGGAGCCACACCATGTAAACCATTGCTTTGTGAACTGTAAAATGCAGTTTTCACCTTGGTGTGATGGTCATGCTTGTTCTCAAGGCCCAGCCAGGGTGGGTTCAGCCCAGGCAGGGACTCTGTGCATACAGCCCTTCCCTGGCCACCATCTCCTCAGGCCCCGCGGTTGTGCCCCAGATCCAGGGGGAGAACCCAGCAACACAAAGCGTGCAGTACCGCGGTGTGCTGGGCACCATCCTGACCATGGTGCGCACCGAGGGTCCCCGGAGCCCCTACAGCGGCCTGGTGGCGGGCCTGCAGCGCCAGATGAGCTTTGCCTCCATCCGCATCGGCCTCTACGATTCAGTCAAGCAGTTCTACACCCCCAAAGGAGCGGACCGTGAGTGCCAGCACCCCTGGGTACCAAGGGCTGGGCAGGGAGCTCAGCTGGTGCAGGTCAGAGCATCATGGGCATCCAGAAGCTTGTGACAGACCTTGAGATTCTGATAGCCTGTCAGGGATGCTCACAAGTCCGTAGTAAGTTCAAGGTGAGACTCCTCAGCTCTCTCTGCCCTCTCCAGACTCCAACATTGCCGTCCGGATTCTGGCTGGCTGTACCACAGGAGCCATGGCGGTGACCTGTGCCCAGCCCACAGATGTGGTGAAGGTTCGATTTCAAGCCACCATATGCCTGGGGACTGGAGGCGACAGGAAATACAGAGGGACTATGGAAGCATACAGAACCATCGCCAAGGAGGAAGGAGTCAAAGGTCTGTGGAAAGGTAAGATCAGGGACCTTTAGGCAGAGCTTGTCCTTTCTGAGCACTCTGGCAGGGAACCCAGCAAGGTGGGAACTCTCAGGCATGGTATAATAGGGTAAGAACATCCCAAATACAGTATCTCACACACCTGCCACAGCATCTCAAATTCAGTTCAACTTGCTAGCCCTCACCTTGAGTAGCTGCTGTCCTCAGGGGCCAGGCCAGAGATGGGAGAAGCTGGCTCCATCCAGAAAGAAGCTGGCCTCAAAGGCCGAGGTGTGGAGATGGAAGGGGAGGGACTTCAGAGAGCAGAAAGCAGAAACGAGGCACCCAGGAGCACAGCTGTGGCGTGGGGTGCAGTGAGATGTGTGAGGGGACTTCCTTAGGAGTATAAACTTTAGGGTACCCTATGCATCTAGCCCTTGACAAATGCCAGAATCCCTCTTGCATTTGGACCACCATTTGCAAGAATCCTTGCAGGAGAAATGGTGACCCTGTGACGTTTAAGGGCAGGATATCCAATGACAGTGCTGCCTCTGTAGCCCCTTGACAGTCCTCCACCTTTCCCAAACCTGTTTCCCTCCTCAGTGAAGCCTCTCTCCTAGGGCCCTTACAGCACTATAATCTGTGACTGTCTTAAGAGCCCAGCTTACCTCTTTAGATTACAGTGATTGCAGATTACCCTCAAATATAGCCAAAAGTGGGTGTCTCTGTTTGTGAAGATGTAGGGGTTTTAAAACTTGGTAACCCCACCAGGAAAAGTGGGATCTGCTTGGCTGCGGTGGGCTCCCCTGAGACCATTGCTTTGGGGCACTGGGTCCCAAAGCTGAGCCCTTTCAAGCAAGACAACCACTTCTTTGGTTCTCTGTTTGTCAGTCACTGCCACCTTCCTAACAGGGACTTTGCCCAACATCACAAGGAATGCCATTGTCAACTGTGCTGAGATGGTGACCTATGACATCATCAAGGAGAAGCTGCTGGACTCTCACCTGTTCACCGGTGAGGCAATGGGCTCCAGGGAGACAGGGATAGGGACCATCCAGAGGCACCAGGGCTCCAGCAAGAACAGAGAGAGGAGCAATAGCCAGTTCAGGATTGCAATGAGTAGGAAAGAGGCCTGAGTTGGAGGCCAGAGCCCTGAGTTAGCACCCAACTCAGTGTATCTTTAAGTGAAGGCCACTTACCTACTGTGACTTCAGTTTCCCTAAGTAAAGCTGTTGGGCTGGGTGACCTTCTTACTTTTAGATACTCAGTTCTAGTTTGCCAAAACTAATCAAGACCTCAGCCTTAGGCCCTGGGAGACACAGACAATGCTTCCTATGCTGAAGGTCAAGGTTGAGTTGGAGCTGGTGACTGCACATGGAGCCAAGCACACGTCTATTCCATTCCTGGTATTTGTTCTTCCCTTCCTCTCCACAGACAGCTTTCCCTGCCACTTTGTTTCTGCCTTTGGAGCCGGCTTCTGTGCCACAGTGGTGGCCTCCCCAGTAGATGTGGTAAAGACTCGGTATATGAATGCCCCCCCAGGCCGGTACCGTAGCCCCTTGCACTGTATGCTCAAGATGGTGGCCCAGGAAGGCCCCACAGCCTTCTACAAAGGGTAAGCTGACCTCCTGCCTCTAGCACTCCCTCCAGAAAACTTGGCATGCTCTCTCTCTCTCTCTCTCTCTCTCTCTCTCTCTCATTCTTCCCTCCTTCCTTCTTCTTTTCTGCCTTCTCTCATTTTCTTTCTTTCTGACAGGGTCTCATGAATCCTCACCTTGTAGCCAAAGATGACCTTGTTTGAGGATGGCATCCTGATCCTCCCCTGGCTCCACCCCTGAGTACTAGGTTATAGGCACGTACCACCATGCCTGGCTTTGGGGATTCTTATCTTAGGTTCCTACCACAGGTGGCAGTGAACAGTACAGATGTGAATGTCACAGTGAAGTATAAAGAGTTACAGAAGTTTAAAAAAAAAAAAAAGGCTGGAGAATTAGGGAAATCTTGATGAGAAAAGTAGCCTAAGGCTAGGTAAAAGTATTATTTATCTCCAAGCATTTTGGACAGGGGAGACATCCCCCTGCTGCCCTGGCCATCACCACACAGCAGAGGCACCACGTTCACCATACCAGCCCTCAGGGACTCTGTGCCTTTGAAAATACTCTTCCTGTGGGTGGTGGTGCACACCTTTAATCCCAGCACTGGGAGGCAAAGGCAGGTGGATCTCTGTGAGTTCAAGGCAAGCCTCATCTACATAGTGAGTTCCAGGCCAGCTGGGGCCACAGGGAGACCAAAAAGACCAAAAAAAGAAAATACTCTTCCCTCTGCTTATAATGCCTTCCCTTTAAAATTTTTTTAAATATTTATTTTGTGTATTATTATTGTACGTGTGATGTGAATGTATGATATGTATATGAAGGTACATTGTGCCACATGTGTGGAGGTCAGAGGACAACTCTGTGAGGTCGGTTCTCTCCTTCCACCTTTACATGGGTTCCAGGGATGGAACTCAGTCCATCAGGCTTACGTCCTTGGGTGGCAGCAGCTTTACCCACTGAGCCATCCCACCAACCCTATGAATGTCTTTTCCTCACCATCTGCATAATCCAAATCTTAACCACTCCTCTAGACTGGTCCAAATGCTACTCTTCCTGCACACTGCCACATATAAAATTTCTTTCCTCTCCGTGAACCTCAGCAATACCATTTGATTCCATTTTCATGATAATTTCCACTTAATTTCATCCTCATACTAGTGCATAAGTTTGGTTACTTAGTGTCATCCTAATAGCTAAGTCCCTATACACTGAGTCTTGGACTAAGCACTTTACATATGGTAAACAGTAAGACAACCCCATGAACTGGGTAATGGCCCCCACACTGCCTATGGAAGATTCTGCATTTAGGAAAATAGCTTGTCCAAGGTCACAAACTAAAATGGCAGAGCCATGACTCTGAAGCCACAACCCAATGTGGTGCTGCTTGCTCCCACCACAGATGCCTTCAGCACATAGTTTTCTGGTGCTAAATGTTAGGTTGAACCCAGCAAACGAACAGGAGCCATTAGGTCCTTAAGGCTGGGAAGAGCGCACTAACACAGTCACTGGACAGACTATTCTATTGAGTGCCCGTCACTGGTGTCTTCAGCTATAGCCACTTGTCTTTCACTTGGCAAACACTTATTGAACATAACATGTGTGCCAGATCCTGCTCTATGCCTCCCTCCAAGAGTAGCAGACAAGTAAATAGTGTTGATTAAGCAATGATTAATTCTGAGCCTCTGCTGGGTGCTGTCCACCAGTCACTCAGTTAATTCACAGAACAGCCCAATAGGGGAGATGCCACTATTTTCCTCACGTTGTTTTATTTAATTCTTGGTGTTTTGAAACAGGGTCTTATGCAACTCAAGCTGGCCTCAAACTCCTGATCCTCCTGCCTCCATCTCCCTAGTGCTGACATTACCACAACCAGCTTTTATTATCGTGTTAAAAATGAAGAACCTGAAGCTCAGAAATGCCACGTCACTTGTAGACGTTTATGAAGCTAGACGAGCTAGGATTTGAAAAACAGGTCTGACTTTGGAGTTTGGATATATTGTCACAGTGCTGTAGTCTCTGTGAGGGTTCAAGAAAGGCTGTGGCAGTTTGGGTATGGGGGCACAAGCCTGTAATCTCAGCACTCAAGAGGCTGAAGCAGGAGGATTGTCTTGAGTTCAAGGCCAGGCAGGGCTATACAGTAAGATCCTGTCCCAATCCCTACCCCACAAAAGGTAAAGACATACCAAGTTGAGCCCTACAGAGTGAAGAGCAACCCTCCAGATGAGGGAGAGATACGGGACAGTCCAAACAGGGAGAACAGCATGGGTAAAGTCCTAGAAGAGGGCCTGGCATCATCCCAGCCTGCCTTCTCAGGGTGGAGAATCAGGTTGGAATGAGGCCAAAGCCCCAGCATCAGGGTGAGTTGGGTCAGACGATGTGTTTAAACAGTACAGTTGGTAGTTAGCAGTTGTGTGATACTAGCTCTGTGGTTTCAAGACATTAGCCTCTCTGGGCCTCAGTTTCTAACAAAGAAACCTGGCAGCAAGCATGGTTACCACTCAGGCTGTGCAGATTAACCTGACACCGTAACCTGCCTTAACATGTTAGTTTTTTTTTTCTGACTCCAACTTCTGCCTAAATCCCGTCAGCAGAGAAGACAACGGTGGAATGAATCTCAAAAGGCTTGTGACAAGCAGTCCAGGACCCTCAGCACTGAGTTGGCATGGGGAGGGCACAGGTGTATTTGTGCCTCCCAGCCGCTCCTCCTCACACAGTGCTGTTTTCTCCTCAGATTTACCCCCTCATTTCTTCGTCTGGGAGCCTGGAATGTGATGATGTTTGTAACCTATGAGCAACTGAAACGGGCCTTGATGAAAGTCCAGATTCTTCGGGAATCTCCATTTTGAACAGGACAAGCCAGCCACTTGGTACTTTCCATCATAAACCCACTTAAGAATGGAACAAAACCACGGATCTGCACCGGGTGGATCTGTGCCCAGCAGACCCAGCTTCACACATGTTTACAGAATTCTGCACCTGTTGTTGATTCAAGAAACTGAACTATAAGAGGAGGAAAGTTCTGAGCTCAGTGTTTTATCCTAAAGCACCTTTGTTTTGCACTGACATGATGGGAAATAAATTATATTAATTTTTGAAACCTAGGTTGGTTGCCTAACATTTAGGCAAGAGAATACAAAGAAAACCATCTCTTTGGATAAAAGGGAAGTTTGCCAACTTGTATCCCCTGAAAAATAGGATTAGACAATGAATTTAAACATTGGAAGGAGTGGCCCACAGCACAGCTGAAATCAGCTAGGAGCCTCCAGGGACGGTGCAACTGCAACACAAAGCTGGCACTGCAGCCCCACGCTCACACAAGGTTCATCTGTCTGCCTTTGCTGTGAGTCTGCCAAGTGGAATCCATTGGGATTCTGGGAAATGTGAGACAGGAGGAAGAAAGCATTGAACTTGGGCAAAGGAGGCCTGCTGGGCCCACTGAGGACACTGGAGGACAGAGGTCGGCCTCACTCTCCTGTCTGTACAGTAAGTAGCAATCTCTTCCCTGCCTACCTTGCCAGGGAGCATCATGTGAGAAGCCAGGCATGGACGCACTTTAGAAAAGCAATGGCTGCCTACAAGTGTAAACATGAAGACAATGCTTCTGGAGAGATTTTGTCCAGACAGGAATTACCAGCGTGGAAGTTTTGGAAAGATGCAATTATATAATTATAAGGCTGAGCATGGGGACCATGGTTGACTGAAGGAAGCCACAGGAGCCAACTGCCCTCAGCTTCTGCTCTCTAGTAACCTCAAAGGGCTGTGGGTCAGAGAAGAGGCACTGCCTGCCTGGGAGTCCAAAACAGCAGGTCGCAGAATCTTTGGAAAATTGTTATGACTCAATAAAAGAATTCTCACCCTGGGGCTGGAAAGATGGTTCAATGGTTAAGCGGCTGCTCTTGCGCTTACATACATGCAGGCAAAACATACACATAAAATCAAAATAAGGGGGCCAAAGAGATGGCTCAGCAGTTAAGAGCACTGGCTGCTCTTGCAGAGGACCCAGGTTTGATTCCCAGCACCCACATGGCAGCTAACAACCATTCATAACTCTAGTTCCAGGGGATCTGATGCCCTCTTCTGACCTCCATGGGTGGCTGCTACACACAGCTGCAAGAGTTAACTCCATGCCAGGTTCTGGTGTCCTTGAGGGTCTCTTCTCCCGATTATTTTCTCAAGCAGGTGAGTTATCTATAGCACTAAAGGAAATGGGTGGGCGCCACAAACAGTCTCTCTCAATCCAGGAAGTGACCAGTTGATAAGGCTTGAGCAAGGCCAGGCTGCCAATTTAGGGCCAGCTGGCTGCTTTAAGGGATTTATGGCTTTCCCTAACGAGGCTGTGTCTCTTCTGCAGTTCATACATTCTATCACCCCACCACCACCACCACCACCACCACACACACACACACACACACACAGTTTACTTTTGGATCTGGGGATGTAGTTCAGTGGCAAAGCACTTGTCTAGCATGTGCAAAGCCCTCAGTCTGATCCCCAGCAGCATATGTTTACTCTAGAAGTATGCTTTAAGAAGAGAGCACAAGAGATCTAGGTGTTTGTGTATGAGAAGAGTTCCTAGCTAGGAAAAATCTGAGGGAAAATGTTCCAGGAAAGGAGAAACATAGGTCCAGAGGCCTAAGAATTGGAATGAACATGATCCATTGCAAGAATAAAGAGAACACAATATAGTCAACAGCCTAGGACCTGTGTGTCTGGGTCAGAGGGAGTGGAGCCATAGATGTGATAGTATTCATGTATTCATTCATCAAACATGAAAGAAATGTGCCAGAGGCTGAGAAGTCAGAGGACAGCAAATTGTTGAGAAAATTCAGTTGGGGCAGGGGAGATGGCTCAGTGCTCCTGCTGTTCTTGCTCAGGACCAGGTTTTGTTCTCACCACCCACATGGCAGCTTACAATTGTCTGTAACTCAAATTCAGAGACTCTGACATCCTCTTCTGGACTCCATGGGCAGTGCATGTACATGCTGCATTTACAAGCAAGCAAAATATACAAAATGAAAATGAAATCTTTTTTTTAATCTGGCAGAGAAGTGAAGGGAAAAAAAAGATATTGTAGAAGAAAGGCCACAGGGTTTCTTTCAGATCACACACAGTAAAAGAGGAAAAGTGGGAACTTAGAGGAACAGATGGTAGATGCAAATTTCTGAAGTAAATGTTGCAGAATAATGCATTCAGGTAGGAGGGATCATTCTAGAAACGTAGAAGTAAAGTCTCAAAGGTTAAAAAAGTTAAATTTGGTCATGGTTGTGCACGCCTTTAATCCCAGCACTCAAGAGGCAGAGGCAGGCAGATCTCTGTGAGTTCGAGACCAACCTGGTCTACATAGTGAGTTCCAGGACAGCTGGGGCTACAGGGAGACCAGAACATATCATCACCCCCAGCTTTTGATATGGGTTCTAGGGATCTGAACTCAGGACCTCATATTGCCCAACAGACAGTTTGAGCTATCTTCCCAGCCCTGAAAGTCTTTTTCCTTAGAATATGATTTAATAAAGACACCTGAAGCTCTGCTGTACCCCTGACACTGTTCTCTGGTCTCTGACAGACTGTCAAACACAGGGAAGGCAGAGTGTTCTGAAATGTAAGGTGTCAGGCCTTCCACAGGCTTCTCCCAACTGTCCAAGGACCTTAGAACCCTAAACACAATGTCCCATATGCTATACAAATACTCACACATGGGGGCTGGAGAGATGGCTCAGCAGTTAAGAATACTTGTTGTTCTTCCAGAGGACCCAGGTTCAATTCCCAGAACCCACATGGCAGCTAATAACCATCCTTAACTCCAGTTCCAGGGGATCCAATGCCCTCTTCTGGCCTCCACAGGCTTTGTACATTGGTATACTTACATACATGCAGGCAATACATTCATAGACATAAAATAAAAATAATAAACAAGGAACTGGGCATGGTGGCACACACCTTTAGACCCAGCACTCAGGAGGCAGAGGCAGGAAGATCTCTGTGAGTTCAAAGCCAGCCTGGTCTACATAGTGAGTTCCAGGCCAGCTGGGGCTACAAGGAGACCCTGTCTCAAAAAGACAAAAGATACACAGCAAGCTGACAAGCAACCTATGATAGGGTCTCAGAAGTTATAGAAAAAATATATATAGCAGGTGATCTACATTTGCACAAATAGGTATGACACCAAAATACACATAGTAAGCCAGGCATGTGGTACATGCATATAAACCCAGTACTGGGGAGGTGGAGGCAAGAGGATCAGGAGTTCAAAGCCAGCTTTGCCTACATATTGAGTTTGAGGTCAGTTTGGGCTACATGAGACCCAGCCTCAAAAATAAATAAATAAATGCACATAGTTTTAGAAACATAAATTCAAATGCTTTGAGGAACTACTACAGTTGAGCTGATCTTTCTTATGTTGTACCTTTAACTTATTGGCTATTATGGTAAAGGGCCTGAGAACAACATCATTTTCTTATTATAATAGGATTGTGGAGAATCTTTTATTATTTACATGGAAGGGAGGGACACAGACATGCCACAATCCATATGTGGAGGTCAGAGGACAACTCTGTGGAGTTGGTTCTCTCCTTCCACATATGTGAGTTCTAGGGATCGAACTCAGGTCATCAGACTTTGCGGCAAGTATTTTACCTGCTGAGCCATCTTTCTAGCCCCCAAAGAACATTTTGAACAATAAGAAAAGTTACAATGCATTGCCAGTTTTACTAGGGCTGGTGTCTCAGCCACTACAAGACATAACTACATTGATCTCATGAATCAGTGTAAAGAAAAAGGTTTTCTTTTTGAAATTTGAAGAATGGTCATATATTGTTCATCTCCTACCAATATAGCCAGATGGTAGAAATGTCCACAGAGGTTTTGTGAGTGACATAAGTTAGATCACAAAGGTAATATAGAGGTATGCACTTCACCTGAGAAATATATTGATGAGATCATTGATTCTGGTCCTCGTCTTTGGATCACTAGACTACAGTGTGGTACATAGTTTATATAATAAAGAATTATTTATTTGGATGTATCAGCATCTTAGGGCCATTTTATTTTCTTGCAAGTTTTGTCATGGATCAAGGGCTCAGTGATTACCTCAGTGTTTCCTCAGTAGATGAGTAGGTCAGTGTAGCAGTGCTTTTCCAAGAGTGCTTCAGATAGACATCCCAGATCAGGAAAGATGTTCTGTATTGCTGAGTTCCCCCAATGAGAAGAAACACAAACCAGGAGTAGTGATGCCCACCTGTAATCCCCGCACTCGTGGGCAGAAGCAGGAGGATTGAGAGTTTGAGGCTAGCTGGGCTATATAGGGAGATTCTGTCTCTAAATGAATAAATGAATAAATAAATTTGGACCAACATCATTCATCACTGCAAGATGTCCACCTATAAACAGATCTAAAAGTATCCACAGAAGAGGTTCTCTTTAGAGGGTGGTGAGGAAGGGAGGAGTCCAGGAGAAAGCTTTGCAGCTGCCAATGCTCATCTAGATAGTGGAGGTTCAGCTGACACCTCCGTATTGGCAGCGTATCTACAGGATAAACAAAGCATATTGCTTTCCTTTCTGAAAGCGTCTCCGTCTGCAGCCCAGGCTGCCCTTCAACTCATGATATTCCTGCCTCAGTCTTTCAAAGGCCAGATTATAGGTGTGCACTATGCCATTGCTTTCCTATGTGACTCAACTGATAGAAAACCTTTCATCAAAAAGCAGCAAATTCAACTGTCTGAGCCACATCCTAAGAACTAGAAAAGGTTCAAAGCACTAGTAAAGGAAAATTTTGATCTAGCGCCTTCTCTGAGAAGCAAAATTCCATCTCTGCATGACAATAGCAATATGGCTGTGCAAGTGAGAATATTTAACTACAGTTTTCTTCTGAGTCTCCTGCACTGTGAAGGCTTTCTTGGTTTGGACCCTGGGCCCTGCAGAGGTGTTCTAAACAAAAGTTAAACCCCAGGGCTGGAGAGATGGTTCAGTGTTTAAGAGCACTGGCTGCTCTTGCAGAAGACCTGGATTCACTTCCCAGCACCCACATGGCAGCCAACAACCATCTATAACTCCAGTTCCAGAGGCTCTGACTCCGTCTTCTGACCTCTGCGGGCATTGCGTAATATAGGTACGCTTAAAAAAATTCAGGGAACACCCATACTCATGAAATTTAAAAAAAAAAAAAAAAAAACAATCTAAGGGGCTGGAGAGATGGCTCAGTGGTTAAGAGCACAGACTGCTCTTGCAGAGGACCCGGGTTCAATTCTCAGCACCCACATGGTGGCTACGATCCGTCCTTAACTCCAGATCCAGGGGAATCTGAAGCCCTCCTCTGACCTCCTCGGCATTGCACAACACGGGTGCACTCACATGCATGCAGGCAATACACTCATATGGCTCAGCAATTAAGAACACTGTCTGTTCTTGCAGAAGACCTGGGCTCGAATCCCAGCACCCACATGGCAGCTAACAACTGTCTGTAACTCCAGTTCTAGATGATTCGACAGCCTCTTCTATCCTCTGTGGGCACTGCATGACACGGGTGCACTTACCAACATGCAGGCATAACACTCATACACATAAAAAAATAGTAATAAAATATTTTTTAAAAAATAGGCAGGGCGTAGGGAGGCAGAGGCAGGCAGATCTCTGTGAGTTCAAGGCCAGCCTGGTCTACATAGTAAGTTCCAGGCCAGCTGGGGCTACAGAGAGGCCCTGTCTCAAAAGACAAAAAAACAAAAAAAAATTTTTAAATTTGTTACATAGTGCACACCCCCCCACACACATACACACAGATTGCTCATTCTTTTCCATGACTTCTCTCACCAGAACAGGACTCCTTCATGTGTCATTATGCAAGAGTCATATCCAGAGGTC